GTTGCAATGATTTATTTAAACGTTGACTTGAATCACTCGCCATCGTACCTCCGTTTGAATATCCGCTTTGGCTAAACTCACCAAATGCAAATTTGAATCTGCACCTGTGTGTTCCAGTTGGCATCTGATCTGTGTGCGTTTTATAGTAGTGTCCTCCAACCACGTGCTAGTTGACCCTTGGCTAAGTCCCGCCCTAAAAGGCAGACTAGCCAAGCATCAGCCAGTTGTGCCCAGGGGGCGGGACCACCAGACTGCTCTGCTTCATACACTCGCACAATAGTTTCTTTTATGACTTTCTTCATTTTCAGTTTGGATTTGAAGTTATGTTTAACATAGTTTCATAGTCCTACTTGGACGGAGAGGTTTTAGGGAGATGTGCGTTTGTATATGAAAACACGTGGAGTAGACTTAAGCATATCATTAACAGGTGTTAGCATTCCTGTGCTACGTAAGCTACTGCTGACTGTAAGCTGCTTCTGGAATGAATGATCGGAATGGGGAACAAAGACCCACCGAGCTTTACAAAAAAATCCTGTTTTTATTTATATGATTTATTTTATGGCTTTCTGTCTCATCGTGATGTTTGCTTTTACACTGATAGGCTTCAGTGTCTACTTTTTTATCTTTCTAACCTGTTTTCACTGCGAAGTCTGGTTGTATTCTTTAAACGCTTATTGTGAAATGTGATTAAAAGCCGTGAGGCCCCCTGGGAGCTGATATGTGGATGCAGTAGCAGCAGGGAGCAAGGCGTAGTGAAGGGTACTTTGGGATTTAAATTGGTTAAGTCTATTGAAAATCAGGCCCATATGGGGTTGATATTTAGAGTTCCCTTTTCTACTTTCAACGGTGTGAAAGAAGCTGCGCACTCAGTGTGTAGATGTGTCATTTGTGTATTGTGTATCTACAATGAAAGTCCGTAACGATTTCAGTTCCTGTCTCCACATTCTGTATTTTTGACACGATTGCACTTTCTTCCCTTTTAGCTTTAGCTCTCCAGATATTTCATTCTGCTCTTGCAGTGAAGTCACGACTCGTCCTGCTTGCATTCTGTTTGCACCCTTTTCCTTGTCTTCCCATCGATCACACACAAAGACTTGGACATCGTCGTGTCAAGAATCGAATCAAGTTGTTTTAAAACCAGCCTCGCGTCTTTTTACTTGGTATTCAAAGTTCCGTCTTGTGAGGTTAAATGGGGACGTAATGAGATTTTCCGGTGAACAAAAAAGCATTTTTCGTGAGGCAGAAATAACCGCACGTCGCCTCTTTGAGTGGCAGCTGGTCTGCCTTGTTTACGCACACAGTTTCCGCTCAGGGACATTGTTGCTGTCTGATATTTATTATTATAAATATTATTTATCTGTAATGGAAAGCCGCATCTTTAATCTATTTAATTCCCAAATTTCTAAAAGCTATGATTGACCAAAATTGATTTTGACATCGGTGGTCACCTTCTGGTGGGATGAGAAGGCACGAACAACTGCTGTTTTCTGTTCAAAACGATGAACAATAACCATGTTTTCATTCATCCTGTGTAAGTTACTTTGCAGAGAATTACCGCTAATTACCTAGAGGCTGCAGCCGATGTAATCTGCTGCTCAGTCATGTGCCAGTTTGTGTTTTTAATCAACACTGTAATGGAATTTCACAATGCATTTACTTCAAGATAGAAGTCCAAAGTAAATTACATTTCACAAGGCTCTTGGATACATCTATTAAAGGAATATTTGAACATTTTGGTGAATAGCGCTTACTTGCCTTTTCATGCAGTTGGATAAGAAGATGCAGCTTTGCTCTGTTCATAGGGAACTCCATCAACCCACCGGCATCTCAAGATTATTGTGCTTCAAACATATTTTTATACAACCTCTGTCCTGTCGTTCTGATACGGGAAGAGCTAAAATTTAAGCTGCTTTGTAAAGCGTGTTGGATTTTTTTTGTGTCTGTAATTCGGTGACAAGTCTCTCGTAACAACACTTATTTGGGGACTCAAGCAAGCGTTCGTTAAAAGAATTGTGACTAAATTCTGTTATTGACTTAACTTGGAATGACCCACTTCTGTAAATCCGAGTCAGTTTGCGTTCTGGCAGCGTTACTGAAAATGAAACGTTTGCTGTAAATTGTCTGTTCCTTTTTTTTTTTTTTTTTTTTGATTTACGGGACGGGGTGTTTCTCTGTGTCCCCTGTGCGCAGTGCACAACACTTTTATCTTTGTCATCCTTTGGGTCTCTTTGTCAGTGGAAGTTTTTATGTTAAATTTTGGTTAAAAAAAAAGGTGTGTGTGAGAGAGGGATACTAAAGCCCATCTTCTCTCCACGGGCACCAGTCCAACCTACAGCTGCTTGTAGCATTTCTTTTATTTTTATTTTTTGAAGTCCTTCTCGTAAAAGGTTTCATACAAAGTGACATATCCATCAAGGGAACAGCGATCTGGCCGAGAAGGTTAACTGACCAGCGCTTTGCTGAACCTGCCAAATGAACACTGAATACATTTCTGTGGAAGTGAAATTTACGAGAATTCATTTTTATGAGGGACGAGAATTGTCTTTATGAGGAACCATATGTTAAATCAAATGTTTTTTACAGTTTACAAATGATTCTCTCAAACTAATGTCGGCATAAAAGGCAAAACTCTTAACCTGTGTTTTTCCTTTGACGCTCATTTGGAATCTGGTTGACTTTTGCACAATTAAATAAATATACAAGCATAATTGGGCTAAACAATGTAGCACTTCTCTAGTATACAGACCAGGTCAAATTGATTAGATGAATGAATCCCAACCAAAAATGTAGGTGCACTCAATCTATCTGAACTGATCCGCGGGTTTTTCCTAACCGCCCTCGCGGATGACACTCTTTTTAAAAATGTATACTATAGCTGCAGTGCAGCAACGTTAGGATTTATTGATAAATCCTAAAATCAGCAAAGTTTTCCTGCCTGGTTGCGCATCACAAGCGGAGAACGGGCTCTCAGCCGTATCGCAGGTCTGATCTGACAGCAGGGACCCGCAGGGTTCTCCTGCTCACTGAATAACGGCAGATGTCAGCTGGGTGGAACGCGGAGGAGACGGGCCTGTGATGTGTGCAGGAACAGAGAGGAGGAGGAGCGCGTGATGGGCAGTAGCTAATGTAGCGGGCAGTTATCGTTATTCATAACCTGTCCGAGGTGCATCCGTTCATCCAGCGCTGTCGTCGCCTTAACGCCTCACGCTGACCCGCGGAGCTGCTGCCATGGCAACAGGTTATTGTCAAATTGGAACCACGGGAGATCTATGACTGGTTGGAGTGCTGGTGGATTTACAGCTATTCATACTATTGCAGTGAAGTCTTTGGCCGACAGCCTGCCTGGAAGACTCGTTCACACACGCACACACACACTCACACAGCTGGTGATCTCACATCCAAGGGACATTCTGACGGCATGAGTGTCTTTTAGTTTTATTAATGCTAAACATGTATATCCTATTCTCGGTAGGTCTATTAAGGAATTACGGAGAGCGAATGCATCTGTAACCATCCGAAAACATCTCTCTTCCCATTAGCGCGTCCCCCTCAATTCAACCCGGAGAAAAAAACAACTTTAAGACACCGTGGCAATTAATAGTGGAGTGGAGGGTTTTACTGCGGTTGTTATTCTTTCGATGCACTCGTAACTCCTCTGCTGCAGCAGCGGCCTGTTGTGGCCATAGTGATGGATATTGTTTCATCGGATAGCTGCAAACATTTCTTTAGTAAAACCCAGAAACGGTAGTGCACAAACACACAACATGTTAATGGTGACTTTGGGTGACTTTATCCCCTGACCCACGCTCATTTACTGTAACGCATCGCACAATGTGTCTGTGTGTGCTGTGCACCCATCAAAGTGGGCAGTATTCTGCAGCCATGGCTCACCAGGTGAGGTCACGTAATGGTCGACGACACTATATTACTAAGTGTCGTGCGGCCACCTCGATGGCTTTGTATTCAAATCCAAAATCCCCCTCGCAGTGATCAAGACCGATGGCTTTGCGTGCAGACACAAGACCGTCGACGGGATGGAAAAAGCCACCCCGGGTTCTTTGCGGGCCCGCAGCCCGCAGCCTTGTGTCCGTTACCCACGCTCCCCCTCCGCCGCCGTCAACGCTGCTTTGTGATCACTGCCATTTCTTTGACCTCCCCCATCTGTCTGCTTGCTTTTCGGTTTCTTAATCCTGTCTTTTTCATACCGCGGAGCTTGAGGATCTACTTGGCAAACGGGCCCGCGTGCAAAAACACACACGGGCGCGTGGTGGGAAGGAGCGACGGCTTAATTGCCGTCAGTGGCTGTGCAGATGGCCGCATTAACTGCCGTTGAAACAACCCTTATGTAAAAGCTCTTGTGTAACTCCACAGGACAGCCGCGTACTGCTGCCGCTTTCACGGCTCGCCGCATGACTGAGCCGCAGGGGCCGTTCTCTCTTTTGGTGAAAATCCCGTAAATTCAGTAAATTTGTTCGCAATCCCACGTGGCGTGATTTGTTGCACACGTGGGCAAATCACCTCTGTGACGCTGGGACGCACGCTGGGCTTTTGGGATTGTGAGACCAACTTCTCATCTCGTGTGGAAAATCCCTGGAGAGGACTGTGGCTTTAAAGGTTTGAGATTAGTCCAAAATTCCTTACAAAGCACTCTGAGTCAGCGTGCAGAGAGTGGCTCGCTTGCTTTTGTCGGGTAAAGAGTTTTGAAAGCAATTGAAAAATATCCTGAATGAACATAAATCTTTAGTGATAGAAATATATAGAATAGATCTACATCGGTAATAAAGTCTCTCCTAATTTCTTTGCACACAAATTCAGCACAACATTAAGGAACAAAACTAATACATCCTATTAAATTATTACATTAAAACCGCAACCTTCATTGTTCTGACTGTTCATTACTGTGGGCTTCCTCCAGATGCATTGATGTTTGTATGTTATTTGAAAAGCATTGTAGTTGCCTCGCAGCTAATCTCCCTGTGTCCTCTGTGTGTCCCTTGCAGGGCAGAGCGGGCAAGGTGTCGCAATTCAGACCATCATGCCCTTTGCTCTGGCAGCTGGACAGGAAGTGTGTGTGTGAGCGTCCCTGGTTGGCTCTGCTGGGATGAACATGCCACTGCACCAGATCTCTGTCATCCCCCGTGATGTCACCTCATCGCGGGTGTCCGGCAGCGGGAAAGCTAAGGACAAGGACAAGCAGGTATGTGAAGAGTTGAAAAGCTGGGGACACACCATTTTATTCATGTACTCGACATAAATGAAATGTCCAGCAGAATAGGGAGAAACTGGAGTTATTTCAAGGGAGTCTTTGCCATCGGGGGCAAAAGAGGAAGCATCCCCACAGAGGGATGGGGTCTGGATGGAAAATGTGAAACAAAGGATCATCCATCATTTGTAGATAACAACATTTCAGTTTCAAAATCCCAGGATAGGCCTGAATATATTGTTCAAACCAGACACATAAATACTTAATACTAGATATTGAATTTGTGAGCAACTTTTCCAAAATCAACCGCGGTAGGCGCCTAGAAACAACTGTTTAGCGGCTTGCAATCTTTCTTGATGAAATAAAATTTGCCAATTAAACCCATTTTGATCATCTACTTAAACTAATCAATAGTACAATGATGTCCGTCCATCAATCAATCTGCAACTTTTAGTGACTTTAGTGATTATTCTGTTAGGGTTTAATATTGCCAGATGCCCCATAAACTATTGCATATCTGTTCCTTTTGTTTTTGTCATTTGTTTTTGAAATAATTGGTTCGGCAGCGTTAGATTTGTAATAATTTGACTATTCACTAAACTATTCTTTGTTAAAATAATCTACTAAAAGAATAGGTTAAATATCAACTAGATGTAGAGAACAGGAAATGAGTCATGTGGTCATTCACCAGAGATCACCGGGAAGTTGATTCTCTATTGCCAAGAGTGTCGATCCAAGCAACATAAATTCTCACAAATTATTTCTGTGCTGCATGTGGGTTGAGCAGAGGTTGTCGTTTAATGAGACTGGTCTGCTTATCCATTTGTGGATTGTGGTCGTGGACTAAATACTCAATTTCTTTCCTTTCATGCTTTTTTTTTGTAAATCGTCTACTACAAAACAAATCGGTGAAATAGTTAAAAAAAAACAGGATTGCCAGATTTCTTGCTTAAATCTGACCTTTTCTCAGAATCCTCACTTACTTACTCTCAGGGATAAATAATCAGGATATTTGTTTGTTTCTGAGGCGGGTATCACTTTGGACTTGTCAATAATAACAAAGAAAGTCTGGTGAACGCTCAATCTGTTCATGGTCTCACCTGCGCCTCATAAACCTGCACCGTCCCCGTACTTCACCGGCATCAAACACGACAGGGAAGTGCTCTCAGGGGGCAGTCACCACGTTTTTTTTTTTTCGTTTTTTTTCCTGCTCTGGAACAAAGCGAGGTGCGAAGACAATCTGTCCGTAGGCTCCCTTTCTGCTCGGCCTCATGGGCTCACCATAGATCCACTCCACTAAGTGCAGCAGCACAGGTGTTCCTAAGAAGCCTCTTCATGCAGCATGTGGTGCCGTGTCCTCTGGTGTGCTTTTCTATATATAAGCTGGTGAAACCTGCGCTGTATTTTTACTTCACATATACACCATGAATCAACAATTAAATCCCAGCCTGATCTATGTCGGCTACCAGGCCCAAAACCCTGGCTTGTCATTTCAGAAGTGAAAGTGCACATGGTTTCACTCAGTCTGTTTCGCTTCTTGCAAATTCCTGAGTCAAATCAAGGCATGAGTTTGTGTAGCCAGAAATATATTTTTGTAAAATGCACGGCTAACGGGATTAAGGGGTTTAAAACTTGGAGAGCAGTCGTTGCAAGGTCACCTGTGGAATAATATCGAAACCGAAAGCTGCATCATGTGCGGAGGACGTTTGGTCTCTCTGCCGCCACGTGAAGATCCAACCCTTCATCTCTCTGCTCAGCGACCCTCTGTCGGTCTCCTGCCCCCCCTCCCCCCTCCGAGGAATAAGTGGATAAACAGCAGCGACTTCAGTCATCCCCGTGGAATCATCATCAGCAGCAGCAGCAGCGTAGAGAAAGGAGAAACTGAGTTTAGGAAAAGAGGAGAGTGTTTACTGAATGCTGATGAGTTGAGAGCCCTGGAGGTGTGTGCGCGCGTGTGCGTGTGTGTGTGCGCCGCGCCCCCCAGAGTTTAGTCACAGAGCTCGAGCCCATCCAGCTCCTCTTAGACAACACAACTGGTCTTTCAGCGCCTCAAGAAAAAAAAAAGCAGAACTTTCTACTTAGAATTCAGTCTGTCAGTTTCTCCCTTTTTAGAGATCAACACATCTTTAACGGTTTCCAGCCCGTTACCTGCCTCTCTCCTCCGGGTCTCCTCAAGTTTTTCTTTTGCTATATCTAATAAATGCATCCTGACTGCCGACTGCCGTAGTTTGTTAATAATCATGCATGACACCAGGTGGCTTTTTTTTTTTTTTTTTTTTAACAGTCATTACAGTAATTGACATGGAATTTTGTACTTCAGCGAGGTTGAAAAATACAACCACGTTTCAGTGGACGCAGCTGTAGCTTTCATTTCCCCACCAACACGTGTATTCACACCAGCACGCATGACTTCGCTTACCCTGATATTATATTTAGCAGTATGTCTGTGCGCGCACTGCACACTGTGATACTTGATGCCCGCCCTTTTGATCCTGCATGTATTTTTCATGAAAGCACAGCGAGCACTGGAAGCTTTTGTCCTTCAATTAGCGCGTGTCCGGGTCCAAGGACGGCTATAATGGCCGCACAGCTCCTAGGCCTCCACGAGGCCCAGCGTCATCAAACACTGACCACCACAGCGTGAGCTCCAGCCGTCGGCCTGCTTTTAATGTGTCTGTCTTTGCTGATTCAACCAAGCGCTTCTACCATGGCGACATAACTGGTTCACTTGGAACAGTGTTCCTGCACTTTAGGTGCAGATGAAGCTTTTTCCCGAGAAGGCAGATCGCAGGGCAGCTTGTTTACACCCAGCGCCACTGAATTGAGAAAAAAAGCTTTTTGATTAAATGTGTTTTTAGAATATTGAAAAATATGTTTCTGGGCCCTGAGGCGGAGAAACCTTTTTCAAACATTTGGTGCATCTGAACTGTCCAACACATTCTCTTCCAGACCGCAGTGCCCCGAGGCTTTTAAATCAAAACGCCACAATAATTACCCAGAAAGCCTTGGGGCTGGCTAGACTAGGCATGAAATCAGAAATCATCAGGGAAAGAATTATCAACACGCGTGACTTGAGTACATTAGGACTAAACTTAATGTGGTCACCTCTAGTTGGAAGCAGACAATGTGATCTGTGATTTGTTTTACTCAATACAAATGATTCTGTCGTGGTGCATTCACTAATGACTAGTTAATCTAGTATAATATTCCAGTGCACAGATTTTCTCACACGTACATTCAAACAGACAAGCTGTACTTTCATCCTGGTGTAGATGTTCTGAGGCAAAACTGTCCCCGTCCCAAAGAGGTGTTCTAGTAGTAGACAGTGGGGGCTTCATTAGCTTTTAAGGGAAAGTGCCGATCAGTTCCCAAAGCCCAAACGTATGTCAACTCAAACCAGGAGATGTTCAATTCACTATCTAGAAAAGTAGCAGTTTTTGAGATTTATCATTAAAAACGGAGGCTCAGCAAGCAGCTTTCAGATGTTTTCTTCGGGTTAAACACATTTACCAACGCTAATCTCGCGCTTTACTGTGTGCTCTGTTGTACAACGTAATCTGACAGATGTAGGCCTATAGAGATTAAGCTGTTAACCCGCAGACATTTGTTTAGCCTGTCGCACAGCGCAGCAATGCTGCCAGAATGAATCTAAAGAAATCAACTACATTCTTACCCACAGTTAAACAAGGTCCATTACTCAATAATGTTGTAGCAGTGATTGTGGGATAAACAAAAAGAAACTCGATGAAGTTCATTCAGGTGGGAGAAATGCCGAGCGGCCTCTTGGAGCGGCTGCTGCCTCGGTCTTTGAGTGCTCAATGGAAGGGGTCTCTGCGGGGAGACTCTTTAAATTGAGACGGTGACATGCTGGTTTGGCTTCTGTAACTCAAATGGGCCCCGAACGTTCAGCCACTTGCAGCCGGATCAATGGCGGGCGGTCGGTCGCTCTGCGCTCTCCCACAGCGGCCGTATTCATGCTCCCGATGAGACGCCGCAGGCGTTCCCCCTCACAGCAGCCTGTTTGCTGTTGCTTTGTTGTCTGACACACAGTATCTGCTTGATGAATGCTAGTTTTATGCCACCAGCTGTGTAATGAATCCGACAGGACTCGTAGCTCTGCCCTGTTCCAGCCGGTTTATGGCCACAGGCACGTACAATAACAGTCGGACACTTGCCAGTAAGATATGATGATGAGATTATCATTATCTTCTAGGGGAGAGGAGGACGTCTAGGTCCAAATACACACTAGTCTCTTCTGTCCAATCCCAATCACCTTAAAAGTCTTTGTCTTTCTCCAACTTCTCCTCCACTCCCTCATGCTTTTTTTATCATCCTCTGTTATCCAGCGAAAGATTAGCACAATTAATCTCTCCGCCTGTGAGTTCCCTCCTGAGACCACACTATGAACTCCTCCTCGTTGCCGTCTGGGGAGGCAGATGCCAAACAGCTGCAGATGCGGATTCAGTCACTCTCACTTACAGAAAGACACTTGTACTTTAATTCTGTTAGCATGGGCTATTGGACACACACACGCGCACACACACACAGCGGGATGATCCCCTCAGCCAGCCGATGCTAATGCAGTCTGTCGTTGTGGAAAGAAGCGTTTCAGACCAAGTCGATGGGTGGAACTAGAAGCCGGCCTCTGGATGAGGTGACGTCGCTCTGTCGAGCTTTGTGACTTTGGTCACAACGCCCTCATTTTTGCAGATTTCTGTTTTTTTGTCAATTACGGTCCAGTTCTATGACTAAATACCTGCAAAACTAATGATCCACAATGATCCATCAGCCTCAGCTTGGCTTGTTCACTGAGTGATTAGCATTAGCTAGCATTGTTAGCATTAACACACACACGACTGACACTTTACACCTAACTGAGATCCCTATTAAGGGGACGGGTACAGCGGTTTCTATTACCAATTTCAAATATAGCTAACACTATTCAAATGAGACTCTTGTATTTAACGGTTTATCTCAGTTTTTTGTGTATTACT